GGGCCGGGCCGGCCCTGAGCCTCGGCCCAGCAGACGTGAGCGCGCCCACTGCCCTCTGCACGCTGGCTCAGCCCCCCTCCGGTCCCCGCGGTCCCCAGTTTACTGTGCCACGCTCGGGGTCAACCTGGTGGCCTGCTTGGCCTGGTGGATCGGTGGAGGCTCTGGAGCGAACTTCGGCCTGGCCTTCCTGTGGCTCCTGCTCTTCACGCCCTGCGGCTACGTGTGCTGGTTCCGACCGGCCTACAAGGCCTTCCGGTGAGTGCTCGCCCGGCCTGCCTCGCCCCTCCGTTGGGGCTGCGCTTTGCGCGGGGAGCTGCCCGAGCTGCCAGCCCGCTGTCTCCGACGGCGGGGTCCCACCCTGCGCGGCCTGTCCCACTCTTGCCCAGTGCACGCCCACGTGGACGGCCAGGCCCAGCTGCTCCGTGGTTGGGGTGCTCCCGCCTCCCGGCCCCACCACAGCCCTACCCGTCCCGCGGGCCTGTGGCGTGCGCTCCAGGTGGTCCCTGACTCCTGGGAGACAGTGAGTCAGAAAGGGCCAGGCCCCCCTCCTACCTGACTTACGGGACTGCTGGGGCAGCCGCATGGGCACCACACGGCTCCAGGAGGAGCGGAGGGCGGCCCCCACAGCCTGCAGTCTCTTGGGGAAGTCCCTCCAGGCCCGCCTGCCTGCGTCCTGCGTCCTGTCGTCCTGCGGCCCGGTCGGGCGCGGCCCCAGCTGACGGTGTGCCCGGCTCTGTGCTCCCCACCTGCAGGGCCGACAGCTCCTTCAACTTCATGGCCTTTTTCTTCATCTTCGGGGCCCAGTTCGTCCTGGCCGTCATCCAGGCCATCGGCTTCCCCGGGTGGGGCGCCTGGTAAGCCTTGGGGCGACGCCTGTCACGGACATGGGCGCAGCCACGCAGGAACCAACGCCCAGGCCGGGTGGGCCGGTGGATCCGCGTCCCCCCTGAGATCGGCCCAGCGAGGGCCGGCGGTGGGCACGTGTTTCCAGGCCTCCCCACACGAGCCCCGCCAGAACCACTGCCCGCTGCATGCCCAGGAGGAGGGTGTGAGGGCAGCTGCAGGCCCATCGGACGGAACCCCCGCCCGAGGCAGTGGTGGGCGCCGCCTGGACAGGTCATTTTTTAAATCGTGAAGCGTTAGGGGCACTGGACTCCCACAGGGCTGACTGCAGTTCGAGTCCCGGACCAGGCAGCTGCTTTCTCACTTTCCCTCTTCCTCCCCATCTCCGTCTCTACTCACGTTAAAATGAAGTTAAATATAATAGTTTTTAAAAGGAAGTCATAAAACTTTCGAACATTTCTCTCTGTTTTCTCCGTCTCTATAAATAGTAATCTTTTTACTTAAATAAGTTTTTTGAAAGCGGTTTTTGCAAAAAAAAGAGA